ACCGTGACGTCACTGCAGGAAGATAGCAGGAGGGAGGGGTTACTATACTTGGAAAAAAATGGCCGCTCCCAGACCCAGTGATCGCGACGAAATTTACTGTTTTTATTTTCTTACTGATTAATGCAAAAATCATTAAATCATAGCGAACGTATTAGTTTTAGGTATAAATAATGATCCATTGATTATTCCCTGCTGACCGGACTTTTAGTTTTATTTAAGGGCATCAGAGGGGAGGGGATGAAGGAAGACAGAATTGGAATTTTCCTTCTCACTTTTCTACACTTCATGATGTCTGTTACATAAACCATGACAGGGTGTCAAAAAAGGCTTGCAGAGGTGAGAATACTTTTGTGGCGGGTGTACATTGCCTCACCAATAGACCTTCCGGGCTTTCTGAATGGTGGTCACCGTCTGCACCTCTTTCAGGGTCTGATGTGTTTTTCTCTCTGCAGATTTCATGGCCTGCACAGAGAGAGGAGGCGGAGCATTGATCGGCGTGAGGACTTCTCAGCGACAGAGCAGCAGAGCTAATCGACTTAAACAGTGGCTCACTAACCTTGCCTGCAGCTTCTATGGTTTTCTGTTCCTTTTTCTCCGCGCTGCGTTTGTGGTCATAGTACCTGAAAGCAACACAGTAAAAACTCCACCAACCTGAATCATTGCAGAGGTAAAGCTTGCATCTGTCTGCGCTCTTAACTCCAAACCCACCTTTTAGCGTTGGCGTAAGCCGACAGCCCCAGATCCACGTCCACCAACATCGGCTTGTTCCTCTGCGGCTTCTTGTTCTGACCTTTGTCTTTTTTGCCTTTCTTTCCCTTCTCCTCCACCACCTTCACCTTCTCCTCCTCATCCTGTTCTTCGTCAGAGATGTAGGGGTTTCTGTTTGGCAAATATGTTCAAATGCATGGATGAGTTTATTCCATTAACATAGGAAGGGTTTTAGAGAATGGGATGCAGCCTCACTTCAGCAGCATGGTGATGTGGTTGGTCTGCAGCTTCAGCTCCTTGATGGCGCAGGCCACGGGGTCCCCGGACGCTTGGGCTTCCTTCACTATGACGCCGATCTCAGTCCAGTCCACCTGGTTGGCGAGCGCGCTGCGCACCACCTGCAGCGCCCTCTCCACCACAGGCAAGTTCATCTCCACGAGCTCGCCCTTTATTCTGTCCACCTCCTGTTACGCATGCGGGAGTTTGAGTCAAAATCATGACAAGATTCACCCAGACAAGCCTAAAAGGTGTTTGTAGATAACCTGTGCTTGGTGCAGGGCCTCCAGCCTCTGCTCATGGTCCTTCTTCACATTTTCCAACTTCTTCAGAGCCTGCTTCTCCTGCTGCAAGGCTTTCATGTCAATCTTCTGGCTCTCCATCTTGGAGAAGAACTCATCCACTGCCTGTGGGGGAAAATGATTGGGAATAGGGTTTCTGTCAATATTTTCTCCACCAGGCAGGAAGTTAGCTGTAAGGCTGATCTTTACCTTGTTGAAGGTGTCAAACTCCAGATGAGGGCTCTTTGTGTGCTGGGCGAAGAGGAACGGGTGGAACTCATCGTACCTGAGGGAAGACAACATTTGAGAATACTACTGACGCAGAAACAGCTGCAGAAACGAGCAGATTTCTCCAGGACGTACGTCAGGAGGTCTTCGCTGGGTTTGTCTGGAGTCAAACTTGGTTTCTTCTCGCTCTTCTGAATGATATAACCCTTATCACACCAAGAAAGGATGAGATGAATGGTTACATATAAAACCAGGAAAGAACAAAACGCAACCGGAAACGTTTCTTTTTTTTTTTTTATTGCATTTTGTAGGGATACAAAGGAGGACGGATCAGTAGAGAAATTAAACCTTTTTAAGAATCAAAATGTGATTGAATCAAGAGCAGCAATCCAAACTGTCCAAATCAGTTAGAATGGCCTAGTTTTTTTTATTTTTATTTTGTGAGAGCGATACAATACAGTTGTAGTTACTTTCAGGGAATATACAATGTTACTACTGCCACTCACATTTTTTTTCTTTGAAAAAAAAAAGGGAAAAATAGATGTATTTAATAAAATCTACAAATAAATAAATTTTGAAAAAAATGGCAAACTTTCAAAAATATTGGTAAAACTTTTGTATACATATTATAAATTACAGTCAAAACCTTACTTGGCTGGTTTTTCAGATTATTTTTGGGAACATGCTATTTACGTTGAATAATATTGGAACAAAGTTCTCTCCATACCCTGAAAGCAACTGGCAGAACTGCACTGTGGCTAAACGAACCAATCATCCTCTATGTTCTGCTATCAGACCACTTTGTCAAGGAGTTCCTGGAAACATTTACATCTAGATTAGATCCTACATCAGAGAAGCAGAAATATGTCTGAGATCTGTTTGTTTGGCTACAGCAAACTGTTAGCTTAGTTAGCTCTGGTGTGTAGGGGCAGTGTCGCTACCCGATCCGTACCGGTAGCACGATCCGTACCATCAGCTCATTTGCGCCTGCGCGAACAGAATAACTTCCGGGTCGCCAAAAAATAATGTAATTACG